CAGGAGGGATGTGCACATTCGCATGGAAGGAAGACTGCCGTTGATGCTTAAGTAGACCCTCCTGCTCTTGGCTCATCTGTGCTGTCAGTAGGGCTGGAGAAGCCCTACTGAGGCTTGAATGGAGTGGTCCACTAGTGCTTCACTAGTGTGCTTCACTCGTGCACAAAGAGGACGGGATATTCTGCAGGGGATCCGGGGCAGGTGGGTGGAGGCCTCTCAGGCAAGGGGGAAGCATGACCCCAGGGTAGGGGTCAAGGTGCTGGCTGATTTTGGCATCCATATGCAAGAAGAGTGAGGACCAGGGGAGTCGAGGGAAAGTGGCTGCACCTGCAACTGGCCACGGGAGGCTTCTGGAAGCCTAGTGGGCAGGAGGAGAAGTAGCCGTCCAGATTCCAGCACAGTCTGGGATGGCCCACTTGTCTTCATAGGGATGAGGGGGCCACAGGATCGAGGGAGAGGTTCCGGTTCTGGAGCCCTGGGGCAGGCAGATGTTTTATCTGCCTGAATAGCCAAGGGAAAGGCGATACTATCTCTTAATCTCTGGTATCACTTAACACTTTGGTATAAATATAAGCCACCCTGTGACCTCAGAGGCATTGGCGGTGACGCCTTATCCTTAACTGTAGAGTATAAGGCTTTGTCTCTAGTTGAGAGAATTTCAATCAGCAAGTGAAGAGGTAAGAGATAACAAAACTAATAATAGCTAAGATTCATCAGTTCTTACTCTATTCCAGGTATTATCCTGAGAGATTTTACATGGAATCATCACAAAATTCCTTGGAGGAAGGAAATGCTCTTGGTATTGCTTTGTATGACCAGCAAAGGTGTCTTATTTACTGAAGTGGTTTATATAGTGGTTGGATACGCTCACACAGCTAGTAAGATGTGGCAGTTCGACAACAGAGCCTACTCCCCTGACCACTGTGTAATACTCTTCCCAATTTTGGGTGTGATTTTAGGTTGATCTAGAACTTCTGAGGCAAGTGATTTATCCACAAACTCATTGGCCTGGCTAGGCTGGTGACCCTCTAGGCTTGGGCACTGGCCATGGGGGACAGAAAAGAGGCTCCCAGGGCTGCCCGTTTCTCTAGGGGCCAGAACAAAACAGAGGGCAGAGGGAAATGAGATGTGAGACTGGGTAGGCAGAGGAAGGCAGGAGGTTTACCCCCAGCTAGGTGGTGGGCCAGGAGGTCCTTGAGAGGACAGTGGTCTCCTTTTTCTTGCTGAAAGGTCAGCTCCATCTCATGCAGAGGCCAATTAAAATCCAAATGCCTTTGGAATCTAAATGGCTTCTGGTGAGGGTGGGTATACAGTGTGGAGCTTGTCTGCTTAGGTCAATGGATACTAAAGGATCCTGTTGGCTGAGACCTAGAGGAGGACAGGGAGGGCCTGATGGATGCTGATTCTGGCCCCTGGTCAGGCAGGGCCACTGCTTGCACCCTTGGCCTCAGCAGCTTTGGCTCCTTCCTTCCTTCCTCTTTCTCTCTCTTTCTTTCTTTTCTTCCTTCCTTCTCTCTCTCTTTCTTCTCTCTTTCTTTCTTTCTTTCTCTTCTTCCTTCCTTCCTCTTTCTTTCTTCTTTCTTTCTTTCTTCTTTCTTTCTTTCTTTCTTTCTTTCTTTCTTTCTTTCTTTCTTCTTTCTTTCTTTCTTCTTTCTTTCTTTCTTTCTTTCTTTCTTTCTTTCTTTCTTTCTTTCTTTCTTTCTTTCTTTCTTTCTTTCTTTCTTTCTTT